CAATCGTACAAAAACAACATTTACCGTTGGTATGAACTCCTTGTGTCATCAACATCTTCTTTATCTATTCATATTCGTATGTATATGTATACCCTGCACACCAGGATTTCATAGAATTCTGAAAGGTTTCACAATTTTCTTAAGAATTTTCTTTAAGAAATCGTACAGAAATTTCTTACTAGTTCCTGTCAACCGCTTCATATGTTTTTCTCTAAAGATTTCTAAAAGAATCCTAACAAATTTCCGACACTCTTAAAGATGTCGGGAGCATTTGTTTGCAGGGTATACATATATATACGACTATGTGTATGTATACGCGGATATGTAAATCATTGTATAGGCTTACAAGTATGGAAAGCGCCATTTTGTTTGTTTACATTTGAAAACAGCTGAGATCACCTGATTTCCAATTCTCTCATTCTCCGCACAGAGTTACATTCAAGTTTCAGAAAAAACTTTAAAATGTAAATTGAGAAATATTTTAGAAAAATGTGTTTTTATTCATTTGAATTCAATAAAAAAGAAATTAAAAATGCGTGCCAAGTCTTGCATTTCCAATAATAACGATAAATGTGTATGTTCCAGGCAATAATTTAAAATATTTGTGAAACTTATCGTTTTGCGCTAAAATACAACAATGTGTATAAAATTCGTTGTCATTGCTTCTGTTTTGAATATCATATTCGTGCCTGCCGGTGGAAAAAATAGGTAAATTTGCATTTATTTTCAAGAAAACATATCGGTTAAAATATATTTCTTTCCAGAGCGACATACGGACAAGTAAGTTGATAAATTTGTATGATGAATATCGCGGAAAAATTTTTGTATCAAAATTTCTATTCTAATTTGCATTTGAATTATAATATCAACAGGGATGATTTGGGACGTATTTTTTGAAGACAATTTTCTTATAAATCTTGCGATTGTTGATTTATTTTAGAATTAAGAAAGGTAGTTTATATTAAAAAATATATTTACACTAGCAGTATGTAAATTACTTTTATTACGAATTGAAACGATTTTAATGAATATTCATGGTTACCATTAATAGTAGTATGACAGTTAGATCTAAATGCATATTTGACAAGAAAGATATAATAGGAGTTGCGCCGTCCTGGCGGCGATGACATATCTGTACAAAAAGTAACAAAGGTCGATTTGGATGTTGAAAGAAAATGTGAGAACAGCAAATTTTCTTAATAATAAATTTTTCGATAAGGAACGTGTTTTGATTGTGCTAATTTGTAATAGCCTTATTCATAAACAACAAAGTAACTTAAAAAAGGCTTATAAATTGAAAAATGTTTGTGAACGGCAATTTAAAAAGCTTTTTAAATTTTAATTTTTTATTAATAAGGCAATAAAAATATATGATTTACAATAACTTTTAACAAAGGAAATACGAAATAAGGTGATTTTTGCGGAAGTGGGTATTAGTGAATTTCAGTGCATTTAAAGTTTCTGAGGTTTCGTTTACTTTTAGATGAGAATTGTCAAAATTGAGAAATTCAAAGTAGCGATACAATAATCATAGAAAAGAAGATTGCGCCCTGCTGTGATGATGAGTAAGTTTACCACAATGAGGAAGAATATAACAATTAAGTGAAAAAATTTTATTTTTACAAATTTAGTGAGCAGTATACTGCCAGCCACGGCTCACCACTTTCCCCTGAAAATCAAACGATTTACAAACACATTGACAACTTTTTAGTCATCTCACCCACACACCTACAAATTTTTTGTTCGAACTGTCAAAAAAATTTCCCTTTGTTAGAGCTACATACCCGATAAGAATTCGTACTCTAATAAGAATGCTATGCGTTAGAGCGAGCAAGTTAGAAACATCGGAGTTTTGATGACAGTATACATACTGTGAAGAAATGTCACTTTGCGAAAATTTTGAAGGTAAGAATACGTATTTAACAATTTTATTAAATTATGATGTAATTTCTTCTTTTAGATTGCAAAACAGCAGCGACTTAGTCACATTCTTAAGGTATGTATTGAGACTTTTTATATGTTTATAAATTTGAATTGATATTTTTGTTTGTTAACAGATTGGGATTCACCATCAGCACCTTCAACGCTTGCATCTCCATCGCCAGGAGCACCATTACAGGCTAACCATATATTCGCGGCTTGCGTTTTGGTACGCACGCCATCGAATTTGTTTTTTTGCGTCACCCGAAATTGGCTTGCGTGCGTTTGCATTTGATTTCATTGAGCGAAACGTCAAATCAAAATGTCACGCAGAACAAAAATTGGAAATTGAGTTAACTTCATACGCACGCCGTTCAATTTCGGTTGGTCCCATACAAGTTGTATGTGCATGAGAAATTTTTGACAGTAAATTGGCGACGTGCGTGAATATTAGGTTAGCCTGTTAGAACCTTCTGCCCTCAGCTTCTTCATCGCCAGGAGCACCACCAGTACCTTGTACCCTCAGCTCCTTCATCGCCAGGAGCACCATGGGTACCTTCCGCCCTCAGCACATTGACCTGCAGGAACACCTTCAAAGTGTAGGTCCAGCTTGTCAAATTTTGCAAAGTTGTAAGAAAACTTAATTTTTCTGAACTACCATAAATGATTTGCAACTGTTAATATATATTAAAAGAAAGGTAAATCGATTACCTTTCTTTTGATTATAATACTGTTAAAATCGCTTAACTATTTTATAGAAAATTTGCAACTTTTGAAAACATATATTTGCAAAGGAGTAGTAGTAATAATAAGCAATTGGCAACCACATAAGTATGTAAAAAAATCTTTATTATTAATGTTAATTGTAATTTTTATTCATAATATTGATTACTAACTATGTATATTAGGTTAACAATGCATTTTGAAAAATAAATTTTGCAAAATAAAAATCAAAAAAAAATTTAAGATTTATTTATTGTTTTTAAGGTTATTTTGAATTCGCTGTGAATAGATTGCAACCCTGTGCCAGCTGAAGTGGGCAATGCTAGACGAGTGCAGCTATATGTTTTCCTTATGAAGTATCTGAATGAGTGCGACAGTGATGCAAGGATCACACGTACAGGGGGAAAGTGGTGACAATCTGCACACCGCCCATACAAATGTCACCAGTTTTGTCACCAGTTTTGTCACCAGTTTTGAAGTGCCTGAAACCCGCGGTTTCACCAGATTTTTCACCACTTTTGGCTGGCAGGGTAACGCGTTTCAAGAACGATATTTCAGACAAATCGTTAATGAACAACTATTTTTCCTTCCCGTCTGCTTTGGTTTTGGCAAAAAAGTTGATAAGCTCCTGCCGGCGATCAAGTCATTTCAACCATAAAATAATATTATTTGCAAGAACCATTCACTAAAATTGTAACTAACTTTTTATTATTTATTAATTCCTTTTTGATATTCAGCAATAACAAGATGGAAAAAAATTATAAACCAAAATTAGTAATATTTTTATGAATGTAGTTATAAAAGTTCACAGAGGAAGCGCCGGAAAACAATGTATTGTCAACAACATAAAATTTATGGCAATTTAGATGTCAACAGAATAATAACTACGATAAAAAAGCATGAGAGAAGTGTGCGAGAAACGGTCAACAAATTTCTTATAAAATATTTTGATTTTTGCTGGGTGTAAATGAAAACTCAATGAGTATTAAGGAAAAGAAAAATTTGAAAATAATAAACAGAAAAAGAGATGGGTGCACAAAAACTTTAGTTAAATGTTTTTCCCAAATTCTTAAAAAGTAAACAAATCGATTTTTTTAATGTTACTTTACATCTATTTTCTTTTTTATGAATAAGGTCATAAGCATGTACCGTTTTTATAAATAAATCTTATAGCAAGATGCTATATATTTATTTATACACTTTTTGGCTGGCGAAATATGTAATTTTTCAACTTAATAGAAAAGCGTATTAACCACATTACTTTTTTTTAATATTGAATGGCGCAACACAACAACTCTTTTTGTTGCACGTAACCCTTGAACACGTGCCTGTCATCTATTTCTTCTGTTTCGACATTTTTGTATTTTGCATTTCTTTCATTTTGACGTCATTCGCATTGTCAGATTTTTGAAATTCGTTTTGATTCGACATTCTGCTATTTCATAATTCTTTCATTCCCATGTCATCCATCTTCCATTTCTTACCTTCCATTGCCGTTCGCATCGTCGAACGTGCCTGTCAAACACTGCCGCCATCATGCTTTTCAGTTTGGTGGCAGGCACGTCCGCTGTTTGGCAGGCACGTCCGCTGTTAGAGAGAGAATAGACAAAAAGGGGCATAGGATTCCATACTTGTAAGTATATACGATGATGTAAATAAAGCAAAACAGACGATAATTTAATACAAGCGTGCTCATAAGAAGAAGCATAGCTTCTATCGCTATCACCTGTAATTGATGCGCCTTGAGTCGGGATTGATTTCTGGCATGAACGAAACACACAAGATCGCGCAAGAGGGAAAGAAAGAAATGTTTTCTAGATGCTAAAATCGCGAGGCCACGCGTGATTCCGCGTTGCGACCAGGAGAGAATCTATTGTGAATTCATTTTGCATAATCAAAGAGGAGGCATCCGCTTGACATCTGCTGGTTGTTGTCAAAGTTGTTCGTGTGTTTTTGCTGATTACCTGATTTATTAGCAGGCGCGATAATTTTCTTCTAGTTGATTTGAATAATTTATTAAGTTTTAGAAACAATTAGTATTTTCAATTTCCAGTTAATCGTAAAGAGATCCTTATACACAAAAATTAGTGTTGTTTTCACCTATACACGGTTGGTAGTCATAGAAACGTGGGCAAAGTAATTAGATGAAAACAAAAAGTCAATATTTTGAACTATTTCTGAATTTTCATATGTTTTTAATATTTTTGGATTTTAGCTCTATTAAATTAAGAATGATATGAATGGAATATAAGTTATTCTGAATGGTATTACCGTAAAAAGTTTTCGGATCAATATTTTTATTGTTAATTAAATTAACCATAGAGCAACGGAATTTTTTCAGACATCCCGACTTTAATATGGAAGAAACTAATGCAGAAACAATGAGTGCATCATTAGATGAACCCATAAATAAAAAAACGCTATCAAAAGCAAACGCGCAGAAGTACGTTTCGATGTTCCGCATCGATGGAGTTCCAATTTTACCGCCATTGGTAAGTACGTGGGTGCATACATATACATATATGAGATTAGCGGTCGAGTAACGCTGAGGGCCAGTTTTTCAGTGCCAGTTTAAACTTAGATTAAGTAAACTGAGTTTAAATTGGATAGCTGGCTGGCATTTGATTCGCTGATCTGAGTTTAAACCAGCCAAATCGGGCGTTTAAACTTAGTTTAAACCATGGCTGTGCACTGAAAAACTGGCCCTGAGCGCATCACTGGTTGCAAGTTTTTTTATTCTTTTTTGGGTATAATTTTGCTTGTATTTCTAAGATTACGCAAGAAAAACGCCGGCAAATGCAAAAATTTAAAGAGAAGGCAGTTAAGGTTGAACAGCGCCTTGAGGAATGTCGTCGCAGAAGGGGGAGATATAACTTGGAATATTCCACGGTCGGTGAAGAGTTAAAACTAGATCAAATAGGAGGGAGTAATAACCACGATATTAGCAGCAGCAGCAGCAGTAGTGTGTCTGAACACATAAAACAAGATAATCAACATGAAGAAGTTGAAAAATCATATCTGTTGCTTTCAGATCTTTTAGTTCAAAATGAAGTCGGTTCTTCATCGATTATACCTAATCAAAATAATTGCAAAATGAACCGTCAAGCCTCCGGAGAAGCTCGTAATAATGATTTAGAAATTGTCGAACTACGGTCTTCGGAAACGAATCTCATGCAGCGGATGCAAAATGTTAAAAAAATCCGAAACATTGATCATTGAACATGGTTCCAATACACTCTTAACACCTTTATCAGAAGATGAAATTAAACTTTTTCAACAACAGCAGCAGCAAATTAATTTGGACCATCCGAAACAGAAACCTTTAGAACGTAAAGTTTATTTATATGAAGTTGACGAGGATGAAAATCCCAATTTTCAAATACATCAGAGACCCAAACCATGCATGGATAAATCTTTAATGAAAATACCATCAATATGCATTGATCCGCCAACACCAATCACAGCAACGTGTACTTTTAGTGACAGTATAAATCAGCAATGTAGCATTGATATTATAAATGTGAATAATGACAAGAAAGCCAGCAAGGAAACAAACAAGTCATTGATGGAAGAATATGGTTCAGATGAAAGCTTCAATTATACAGGGTCCACGACAAATCTTGAACGTGACCTTAAAACACATCGGAAGGTAACGAACATTACTAGCAAAATTATCAAGTTCGAAAACTTTTCTACAACGGAACAAAAAGAAGACACAGCGAAATGTTCTAATATAAGGCCTCCGCAGCGATCAGCCACAAGTCCATCGTTGAATGCAGGAACTTCGGAGAGAACACAGATCGCTCCCGATTCTCTAGGCGTGACACATGGTTCACAGAGTCACAACGGTTTGGTCCGCTCCAATTCATTCACGTTAGAGGGTCCTTCAGAAGCATTAATCGAACATATCCGTCAACAAAAATTACCCCCTAACAATAATTACCCCACTAAGCGTTTGAATTTATTTTCCATTAGTGCTACACGCGACACTGTGGAATCAAAAGCCAAGCGTGTACAGAAAATAGATTTGAAATCCCGTTCAGTACCAACGCGCTTACAGCTAAAGCCTTCTACCACAAACATAACCACTCCGTCCCTTTCGCATTCAACTAATAACAAAATAAAACGTTCGCCATATGAACAAAAGGTCACCAAACCAAAGATGGGGCGCCAACTGAAAAAATCAGCTTGCGGCACCTCATCTATCAAACAAATGAAGACCAGAACTTCGATGCCGAGCATACCTTCAGACAAAAAATCGACAGAAGTTGCACGCGAGCCAGCAACAAACAACCTACACTTTAACGACATTGAAACTGAACACCGTCAAAAATTCCTAGAATTGTTGGCACATCAAAAAACGGAACAGCAACGAATGCACCAGTTATTCGAAGGCAACAACAGCACTTGCTCGAACAACTTACTGCCAAAATGAGTAGCGCGAATATTTGCCTGAAAAACGTTAATGATAATGGCTCGTTGGACAATTCTCCTTCCGCCAAACCGATCTTGGTCGCTACTCTGTCGTTGCAATCACCAACAATTACTGCCAACAGTTCAGTTGCCTCCAATTCCATGGATAGCACGACTGGCATATGTGAGTTGTCATCTCTAGAGTT